GGCGTCCGCCACCTCGCCCGGCTAGTTTTTTGTATTTTTTTAGTAGAGACGGGGTTTCACCGTGTTAGCCAGGATAGTCTCGATTTCCTGACCTCGTGATCCACCCGTCTCGGCCTCCCAAAGTGCTGGGATTACAGGCCATTTCTTTCTTTTCTTAAGAAAACAGTATCATGTAATTCATTTCTTTTTATTGCCAAATAATATTCCATTACATGGATCCACATTTTGTTTTTCTATTTATCAACTGATAGACATTTGGGCTGTTCCTACTTTTTGGCTGTTATGAATAATAAACGCTGCTATGAACACTCATATTCAAGTTTTTTCTGAACATGTGTGTTCAGTTTTCTTGGTTAGGTTCCTAGGACTGGAACTGCAGGTCATATGGTAACTATGCTTAACCTTTTGAGGAATTGCCAGAGTCTTTTCCAAACATCCGCACCATTTACCTTCTTGCCAGTAGTACACTGGAGTTCTAATTTCTCTACTTCCTCACTGACACTTGTTATTATCTTTTTGATTATAGGAATCCTAGTGGGTAAAAAGTGCATTTCATTATGGTTTTCACTCTATAATTATTTTTGCAAATGGCCAGTCAATCCTAAATTCTTACTTCTCCATTACCATCCACCTCTGGCAGTCAAGTCAAAGAAACTAAACTGCCCTTCCTGCGACACTATTCTTAGTGCAAGCTTTTATTGTTTTGTACTCAAATGATTGCTAAAATGCTCTACCTCCCTGCTATCTCTCTGACTTCCCCTTCCAATCCTCTATGAGTGTAATCTTTCAAGAAGGAAGATACAAGAGGAACCTATTACATAGCTTTTCTATTTTTTGTCATTTTCTTTTTTTGTCATGACAACCTACTATTATGCACAGCTTTAAAAGTCATTAATTAAACAAGGCCTTACAGCCTCAAGAATGAAGTTCAAGCCAAGCAACACCTTCGTTCAAAATTCCATCTAAGACCGGGCGCGGTGGCTCATGTCTGCAATCCCAGCACTTTGGGAGGTTGAGGCAGGTGGATCACTCGAGGTCAGGAGTTTGAGACCAGCCTGTCCAATATGGTGAAACCCTGTCTCTACTGCAACTACAAAAATTAGCTGGGCATAGTAGCACATGCCTGTAATCCCAGCTACTCAGGAGGCTGAGGCAGGAGAATCACTTGAACCCAGGAGATGGAGGTTGCAGTGAGTCAAGAGCATCCCACTGCACTCCAGCCTGGGCGACAGAGTAAGACTCCGTCTCAAAAAAAAAGGAAACAAAAAAAAAAAGAAAAGAAAAAAATAAAAAGTCTCTTCAATCTTAAAACAAAACATAACACCATTTTATCAGTTGTCCTCTTAAACTACCTAGGTGATTGCTATCTTCTTACCAGAAGGGAAGTCTCCCATGTATTTGCTTACATGTATGTTTTCACCTAATTTTCACAGATAGAAAACATAGGCCTGGCATGGTAGCTCATGCCTGTAATCTCAGTACTTTGGGAGGACAAAGTGGGCAGATCACTTGTGCCCAGGAGTTCAGGACCTGCCTGGCCAACAACATGGTGAAACCCCATCTTTACAAAAAAAATACAAAAATTAGTTGGGCGTGATGATGTGTCCTTGTCATCCCAGCTACTTGGGAGGATCACTTGAGCCCAGGGGGTCAAGGCTGCAGTGAGCTGTGATCATGCCGTTGTACTGCAGCCTGGGTGGCAAAGTGAGACCCTGTCTTAGAAAAAAAGGACGGGAAGGGATGGGAGAAAGGGAAGGGAGGGAAGGAAGGAGCCAGAGAGGGAAGGAAGGAGAAAAGGAGGGGCAGAGTGGGGGAAGGAGAGACGGAAGGAGGGAGGGAGGCAGGCAGGCAAGCTAGCTTAAGGCTCCAAGAGGGTTTGCCTAGAGTTACACAGCTAATCTGTGGTGAAGCCAACATTCAGAATCTGTTATAGCTTCTTCGAAACAGGTGCAAAACGATTGCC